ATTTTATAAAACAATTTCTCAGAGTTTTGGATAGCTTTTTGGTAGATGTTAATGCAGAAGATATGAGAGACAAGAAATAGAAGTAGATGTGTGAAACTATAATGCATGGTTTGTGGAGGATGGGGAAGACTGAGGGGAAAGGAGGAAAGCACCAAGGAGAACATCTCAGTTTCCATGACTGCAGCCAAGGTTTGTGGCCTGATCCTCAGCTCTCGCTGCCATCAACTCCAAGAACACTTAGGACCCGAAAACCAAATCAGACATACTCGCTACCCTTCAAGAAAACAAAATTAGAAAGCTAGTTCATAATCACTTGAACAGTTTCCCCATTCCTTTTGTTTTTGCAGAACTAGAGATCGAACGCAGGACCCACCAGATGGCTCTGTGGCACAAGGGAGATCGAACCCAGGGCCTTTGCACTGAGCTACATTCCCATCTCTCTTTATTTTCCACTTCGAAACAGGGCCTCCTTAAGTCTTTAAATTGCCCATCCTGGACTCCAACTTGCAATCCTCTTGCCTCAGCCTCCCAGAGTGCTGGGATTACAGGCATGCACCACCACACCTGGCTCTCCATTCACTTTCCTTACATCAACTAATTTGAATTTATACCCATCTATACTCAGATCTTTGGGAAAAGCTAAGCCACTGTGTGTGTGACAGAACAGAACTGCCTAGTTAGGACCACTAAACTCATCACAGCATGCAGGCTGCCCATAGCTGGAAGATATGCTGTGCCCTTCTTAGCTTCTTAGGTGACCAAGTTCATGTTTCTTTCAAAGCCTCTTCATTTTTCCTGTTTGTATGTGTGTATGTATGCATGCATGTGTTTGTGTGTTCATGGGCATATATATATATGGGCATATATATATATATGTGATTATGTGTGTGTGTGTGTGAGAGAGAGAGAGAGAGAGAGAGAGAGACAGACATATGGTACTCTGGGGCACTATTTAAATTTCTTTTCACCTTTGCCTTAATACCTAGAGCACAGTTTAGACTATATTAGAGGAGGGATGACCAAGCCAGAAATCAAAGGAAATGCAATAGGACCCCCACTCCAACCATCCTTCTTCCTGTGGTTCATTCCTCAGTGTCCCTTTCTGTAGGTGTGGATGGAAGCTGTCACTATAGTATTCTTTCGTGACCAATTGGACAGGGTACAAAAGCACCTGCCATGTTAAAGGCCAGAGATGCATTAATGAGAGAGAAGGCAGCACCACGTCTGTTAGGACTCCAATCAGAATACAACTTCTGGAATGATTCTTAAGCAGCCACTTAGGTTGTCTCTATCACCTTGCTATGGGTGCCGAAACAAAATGCCACAGACTGGGTACCTTTCAATAAGGGACATTGATTTTCTCACAGTTATGGAAGCATAAAGCCCAGGACCGAGAAGCCAGAAGTTTGGTGTTCCCAGAGGTCTCTCTCCTTGGCTCACAGATGGCCACCTCTCACTGTTCCTCACATGGCTTTTTGTCTCTCTTTCTTCTTCTAGGGACACAAGTCTTACAGGATCAGGGTCTACCTCAATCCCCTCATGTTAAATCAACGTCTTCCTTAAAAACCTTGTCTCCAAGTACAGCTCCACTCTGAGGTAGTGGGGGTTAGGATTTCAACACATGCACTTGGGGGAAACACAATTCAGCCCATGAATAAACAGTGTCCTCCATGGAAGTCATTAATGTAATATGGCAGTAGAATCTCAAGGCCTAGCACTCACTAAGCGGTCACAGTGCTCCAGCAATGGTCCCAAGTGTCACAGCTCTGTAACGTGTCTCACAAGACTCACTGGAGTCAGCACAAATAAGAAGCTGAGGCCCAGAGGCTGAGAATTTGTCCCAAGCCACAGATCTGAAAGACAGAAAGCTCATGCTGGAATCCAGGCAGTCTGTACTATTTAAGCCCTATGCCTCAAGAGCCTATGTGTGTGGCCATTTCTCTGGATATTTCTGTATCCCAGGCTGTAAAGATACAGCTGCAGACCACGATGGGTGAGGCTGTCCAAGACGAACCAACTGCTGATCAATGAGCACCATTTAACTATGGGCACCATCCTTGGATACAGTCCCTATCTATACACAAAAGGTACCAAAATGTTCACATGTTTTTCTGAGAAGTTCGTGATTCCACAGAGCATATTCCATGTGATTCTGGTCACATAGTGCTTAAATCTATAGTCACTGGGATCTTACCATCTGGCTTTAAAATATAAGCTCTACCACCACTACCTGTGCAGTACTGGGGAAGTGTCATAGCCTCTCTAGTCCTCATCTATAAGATAAGGATGATCAAAGGACTCACCTCCTTTAGCTATCATGAAGACTGAGGGCAACAACCCCTGTGAAGGGTCAGCAGGTTACTGGGCTCATGCTAGGTGTCACTATCGCTATTCTACTAGTTACTCTTTAAAATGACAATCTGTGCCAAAAGTAGGTGCTTCACCAACATTTGATGCAGCTGAGTTTTGCCACATGTGATAATGCAAAAGAGTATCTTCATGAAGAATATACAAACCTCCCTGAAACAAGCTCCTTTAGGAGTCTAACACTTCTTCATTTTTCATTTTTACTTCTAAGTACGAAACACACAGTCAAGTTTTCCAGAAAGTTTTTTATAGCTTTAAGTTATGCAACATTAGAGGATCCCAGAACACAAAAGAACAGTTTATCTGCTTAAAAATGGATATGAGAAAAATCAAGCCAATATGATAAATTGTTTTCTGGAGAAATGAGAATTCTAGCATGAATACCAAGAGCCAAAAGAATAATCAAGCTCATAAGCAGAATGGAAGTTTTTATGACTTATGCTCAGTTTTCTCATAGGTAAAGTACAATGGTAATTATGCATCGCTAGGAGAATCAAGAATGCAGTTACCAAATATTTTATAAATGCCAAAGTCAGACTTGAGGAAAGTCTTTAACAAATACACCATATCAATGCTTTTGTCAAAGGCAATCAGATGAGGCTTGCAAGTGTGAAATTTATAAGCTCTTTAGAAGATTTTCATCAATAATCAGGCATGGGAACATATTTAAATAGTTATACAATTAAGGAAACCATTGTCTGTACTGCATCTATAATGTCAAGCCTATACCCAAGTTGTTTACCTCAAAGGATGACTCTTTAGAGACACAAGTGAATGATCTGACTCAAAAGTCTGGAAAGGGCCCCAGAAGTCTGTTTTTTGTTTATTGATTGCAGTGATGAGGATTGAACCCAGGGCATTTAAACTGAGCTACATTCCTAGAACTTTTCATTTTTTAAAAAATTTGAGATAGGATCTCACTAAGCTGTCTAGGCCGGCAAAAACTTATAATCCTCCTTCCTTAGCCTCTCAGAGTGCTGGAATTACAGGAATATGCCACCATATGCAGCTAGGAATCTGTGTTTTTAACTGTGAAATGAGTCCTCCTTCTTCTGACTATGGAGTTGCTGTCCATGGTGCTGGATGGAAGAACGAAAACAAATCTCCAAGAGATGGTTATTGGAAACCTCTATTACAGTTCTTTGCTTTATCCACCACTTAGCAAACATTTACCGTGTTGATGCATATTCTAGTATGTAGCTCTACTATTAAACTGCTTTAAAAAAACACTTAAGCATATGTCTGGTTCAGCCACCCTAAGACATTCCTGCTAACACACCTCTTGCATTTAGACTACTATTCCAATGGCAAAGCCAACCACGGAGCTTACAGCATGATTTACAAGAGAGAATCACAGTTGATGAAAAACTATAAAACCTACGCAGATCTGAGAAACAAGTGCAGTTCATTTATGCAGATGTTCACAACCATTTCAGAGAGTCTCCATAGGCTTGCATGAGAGATATGATTCATTCTCTGTATCCCATTATCAGGATGGTACAGTCCATCTGGGGCTCATTTAAAGAGCAGCTTCCAAACTAGATAATAAGCTCACCTCATGCAGGGAAGTGAAAGACGCAAAAGCTCCATTTCTAAATGAATGCTGAAGCACAGGAAACTAAACACTCTCCAGGTGACATGGTTAATTAATTTTGTAAGGAAACAATGAAAGGTAGGTAACAGAATAGGACAGATCAAAGAAAACCTTTGGGAAAATAGCAAGGGCCCCTTCTAGGAGTGATTACATAGACTGAGAACCAGCTCCCTAGAGGATGACACAACGATGTTCCAAGTATCTGTAGTTTGGCTGGGTAAAACTTTAGTTTGGTTGCAAGCTTTTGGTTTACAAGGGCCAGAACTGAAGACACTCTTATTAATGGAATAGAGCAAATAAGAGGAAAGAGATTAACAGATGGACAGGCTCTGTCTGCAGTAGGGCTGTGTTTTCTTTCTCCCGTCCAGCGTCCAGAACCATGGACAGCGACCCTGCCCATCCATGAAGTAGCCTGACTCTTTTGGGAGGAGCAAAGAGATTTAATAAGATTTAATGGATGTGTTGAAAATGAAATAGTGAGCTGACAGAGAAATGCAGAAAAGGTTTAAGAACAGGACCAATATATTCTTTTAATACCTACCAGTACCCATTTCAGTCCCCACTAGAAGTTACTTGTACTATCAATCATGGTGGGTTATACTTATTACAAACAAGACTCTCAATCTAGAATACATAAGTAAAACACATCTTCTCCATAAAGATAATATTACAAAGAAGAAAAATAGCGTTAACAGCCGAGTAGCCAAAATTCTTTATTTTTTTTGTTAAATAGTGAATATAGCTACATATAAATCAGTTAAACCAAGAACCTCATAGCCAATCACAGAACATTTCTTAACCATCTAGTGTACTATGTGAGCAGCATTATGGGGTGAGGTGTTTGGCATTAACATATATCAGTGAACCTGGATCCTGTAGGCAGAAATGGGATTCTGTGAAGGTACAGAAATCTTTTGTTCTAAGAATACCTATTAAAGGAACAGTATACTGGTACACTAAATTGAAGAGACTAGCATACCGAGTGATGTCATAATGACGGAAATACAGTAACATCGTGTAAACATTCTGTTTCCTTCTCTCACCACTTTAATTCCTTCAAAAGAAAGAAGACTTCTGTATCCCGGAACACAAGTTTGATGCAGACAGGAATTGTGTCTGAACGGCTCATCACTTTCTCCAGTGCCTGCACGATACCCTGTGCTTGGTAGGTCCTCAGTAACTATGTGCTGAGCCAGTCAACAATGCTCCTGATAAACACACATTCACAGTGGAGCTATTCTCCCCGGTTCACCTGTTACCTTGAAGAGGAAATCTTGACCTAATTGCAGCTTTTTTGTTAAATAAAACTGCAGTCATTCTGTTCTCTGCCACTGAATTCAGCTAAATTATATGATTTGTCATCAAATTGAAATTTCCATGAATGGGTTAAAACCAACTTATTACATACAACTCTGCTCATCACAAGATACCCATTGTACCATGGACTTCAGCAAAAGCTTATCTCATTCGTGTAACTTCTGTTGGCCAACTTATGAAAAGGCAAACTTTTTGTAAACTTCACCTCAGACTTTGTAGATTACTCCTCTGGGGTCCACTAGCCTCAGTAAGATGTCCTTTCTTCTCCTGATCTCCTGGTTACCGTTGATTAAATTTTTCCCGAAACAACCTTACATGAAAAGCCCTGCTGCTAGCTCAAGCTGGGCCCTCTAGTTATGTCCTATATACCCAACTCTTGCCTACTGGAGGAAAAAGAACTGCTATTTTCCCTTTTCCGTGGTGGATCATCATGTTTTCCTTCTGGACTTTATATATATATATCCATTTTTAAAAAAGTTTCTTGACCTCACTTCCTCTCCTAGATGTTGCCTTCTTTCCTCTCCTTTAAAGCAAAACCAGAAGTGTGTTCTCTTCAAGCCTCCCAATATCATTCATCATGCTCTATTTATTCATTACTTTTTCCCATAGCGTTCCTTGGTATTTTCCAGATGACAGTATGATCTACTCAGTTTCTGTATTCTCTTCACTGTCTTGGAATGTAAGACCTACAGTGGCAGTGACCTGGTCTTTCTGGTTCACCGTGGTTTCCCGTTGATCTCAATCTTTTCTTGGCATATAGAAGACAGCCGTCAATAACTGTCTGATCCATGGGTGTGTAAGTAGTTCCCAAATTTGTTCTAAATAGACCTCTCTGTAATAATGCCTATCAAATAACCTAGAAGCTACTTTGAAAGTTAGTCTTAGAACAACACAGTGTTGTGAGATATTTGTACATTAAGTTGGTTTTTGATATAAGAGAATTACCACAGAATCTAACATTAAGAGTACTTCCAGGTAAAATTTACTTCCAGATACACAGAGACATACTAATTATCTTATTGTGTGATTACTGAATTTAAATATTAATAGAAACCCAATGTAGATTCAGGGAACAAATCCTGCAATTCTCTCAGAAGCAGTTTGCTGATACAAATGAAATGTTAATGCTTTGCAATACAAGTGTTTTCATTTCAGATAAAAAGAGTGAACTTGCTCCAAAACATAATACAGTACATTAAAATTCTTTAAAACTACAAAGCAGGGACCATAAATGGGACTCAAGGATAAGAACACCAACTGTAAAAGTATGTAAATTTGTAGAAGTATGTACAGTTCTCTGACGACTGAAAATGCTGTACAAGCCAACAACCTAGCTTCAGGTTGTCGTACAAGGCAATCTAACCTAGCTTCAGGCTCAGGTTAGATTGAGCCCAGGGCATGTCAGACCCCCAATCAATATTTTACTTCCAAGGATTAGGGCTAAAGCAGTGGAATGAATGACAATAAAAGGACTTTTAATACTGAAAGAGTAAGGAGACACATAGTGTGCAGAATAAAAGGTGACTACAGGAGCAAGTTGGGACACACAGTAACAAGGAGGCACAGTGTGATCTGAAATTACAGTGAATGTTTAAATTTTTAAAAATCTACTGTAGTAAAAAACACATTGCTATGAATCTTTCTGCTTTGAACACACTGATCCCACCATTCTTGCCATTTTCTGAAGCAGTTCTGGAAGTTTTCCTTCATGCGTCAAAATGTATGTGTGGATGTGTATTTTTAATAGCAAAAATTTTTAGTAGAGAGAGTTCTGGTAAAGTGTAGACCTCCATGTATCACCTCTTACCTTATCCTACTTCATTAAAGGAAAGAAAATGTTATCACCTACCTTCGTTCCATGCTGTTCTCTTGTTCCATGGGCCAGTCGTCCTCTGTTAGAGATGTCACATGAGACTGTGACTTCTGGTGGGAGTTTCCCTTCTACACTCTTTGCTGAAATGTCACCGTAATTCTATCTGCCTGGTTTGCCATATTCATATAAGACCTTTGTTTTTCTTCATCCAGAATTACAACATTTTCCTTTCTTGCCACGTAACCACATTGCCATCACACAAAGGACCTAAAGTTTACCCTGGTCCCATTCAGACTTGTGTTCCCCTAAAAGTCTCCCAGGGGGCTATAAATACATATACATGAAGATAACAAAGCACTTTAAGCCACAGTGTGATTTTTGTTTGTTTGTTTCTGTTTGAGGGTAAGGAATGAACTCAAGGCCTTCACAATGAGCTACACTCCAGCTGTTACAGTTTGTGTCTGGATGTCCCCCTAAAGCCACATGCAGTCATGGGGTGGGCTTTTAGAGTTTATGATTGATTCATGATCCAATGTTGGAATTATGGAGGTGAGTGCTACACCTGCCCTGGGGTGGATAGTTTGCATACAGTATAAGGGAGGGAAAGAGGCTGTTTTCTGCTGCTCCTTGCCTTTCGTCTGACTGCTTTGGCTGTCTTCTGCCGCCAAGAACTGCTGACCTCTGCCATGTGTCACTCTGCCTTGGAGCCAGCCCAGTATGGACTGAAATCTCCACAAACTGTGAGCTAAATAAACTTTCCTTTCTTAATTCTAGGTGTCAGGTATTTTGTCTCAGCAATGAGAGAAAAGTAACCATGACACCAACCTTTCTATTTTTGTTTTTTAAATTTTGAGACAAGGTCTCACTAAATCACTACACTGCCCGGCCTGGGCTTAAACATCCAATCCTCCTGCCTCAGCCTCCCACTAGGTTGGGATTACAGGTCTGCACATCATGCCCAACTCATCCCACACTTAACAGCACACTGCTCACTGAACACACACATATGTCTTGACATGGCATTTCAGATAATCTGACCACTGTAATACGAAAAAGCTCTGATATATCCATATTAACATAATTTAAATATTTTATTTTTTCACACTTCCTCAACCCTGATAAATTTATTTCTTTGCTACAACACATGACCTAGAATAACATCTATTTCAGATAAAAGTACAACAGAAGGAAAATGTTCTATAAATAACAAGCCTGTAATTTGTTCCAGAGCTGTCCTGGAGAAAGTGAGCCCTCCTCCCCAGTCTGAGGCTGCTGCTGTGATTCCATTTAGTGGACGCAATGGAACAGGAGTAATTACAGGTGACTGCCACCTGCGAAATGTACTGCTACATTTCTAAGAATTTCCTGACAAAGTGAGGGACACTAGTTACCAACGAGCTGCTTGGGATTGCAAGGTTCACTTCATGAAGCAGAGACGAAGGAGATCTCAAGCAAGGACCTTCTACTTCTAAAACCCAAGAGCATTTCATCCTTTCAGGGTGAATACAAATAAACCATACATTTTTAACCAATAATTGCTGTCCAGGTGTCAGTCACTTTCCATTCCCTGGGTTACAACACACATCATCTACAAATTAAAGGGAGAAAGGTTTAATTTGCTTCATGGTTCAGGGGATTCTGTCTGCAGAAACATTTATTTTGTAAGGGTCTGGTGGAAGAGACCTCCTCAGCCCCTTGGCAGCCAGGAAGCAGAGAACAAGAAGAGGAGCTAGGGACAAGAATGCACCCTTCCATCTTTATGGCAAAGTGCTACTCCAGTGTATATAAATACCACATTTTCTCTATCCATTCATCTGCTGATGGGCATACGGGCTGTTTCCCAGGTTCAATTACTATAAATTGTGCTGCTATAAACATGGGTGTCCATGTTTCTCTTGTATGAGAAGCCTGAAGTATAAATAAGGAGCAAAATAGAGAAGAGATATTAGAAAGTAGGAAGAACTTTTTCAAATGTGAAGAACAAGAGATGGAGGGAGGAGAAGGGAAGGAAAGAAAAAGGGATTTAAAGAAGAAATGCAGGAAAAATAATGGAAATAGAGCTTTTGCAAATGGGGAGGGGAAGAAAGATTGAAGGGAGGGGAAAAAAGAATTAAGATGTGATATGTACATGGCCAAATTCTCATGATGAAGGTGAGCATTCTATACTGTAAACATGTCTTAATCAATACTAAATAATAAGAAAAAGAATGCACCCTTCCAGGTCACAATCCCAGCGACCACCTCCAACCAGGGCCCACCTCCCAACAGCAAGCCAGCCAGGCAGTCATCAATGAATGAATGCACTGAGAGTTCAGCACCCCATGATCCAATCCCCTTCTAAATACATGGGACTTTTGGGAGACACTTTTTACCTATATCATAACAGCTACTAAAGTCAACAGAGAAAATTGCCCAGGGAGTTAACTGGCTGTAACAACTACTACCTTTCTTTTAGGACACAATCGATAGTTATCATTCAATAGAGTCACGCAGGTAATATTGCTTATGTGTTTACTATATTGAAGCCACTATACTAAACTATGGGTCAACTTTGTTCCATAAGCATCCTTTTTTTTTTTTTTTTACAATCCTCATAAAATTGAGTTAGGTGACAACATTTAATAATCAGAATATTTCTGCTGCTGCACAGCCAGAATTAGGGAAAACCTGTCCAAAGAAAGTACCAGAAGTGGGGCAGAGAGAACTCAGCAGATGATTGCCAGGCAAGGGAGACTCCCAGCTGGAGCGTTGAGTGGGTGGAGATTTTTGGCCAGCAGTCCTCAAAGGAGCGAGTAGGGAGGTGCAGCGGGTATGAGTCAGCCCACAGCTAGAGAGCAGGGGACAAACTGCACTGGGGTGACACAGGAGACACGGGGATGGCTGGCATGGTGGCTGCTTACATAATGGGGTCTGCACAAATAAATACATATACTGAGAATAGTAGAAACCAAATCCCTCACTTTTGAAGGAGGTAAATATACACAAATAGGGGATGCTCAAATAAAGCAGGAGCTTCTGAATGGTAAATGGAGGTATCATGATTTCAGATAGGCATGCTCATCCCTATTTTCTTGGGGGAAAAACATGTAAGGTTGATGTTAATTCCTCTTTAAATACCATAATTCTCCACTGGCAACATATGGGTCCAGGGATTCCTTTTTCAGATTTTAAATTACTGACTCACTTTCTTTAATGGTTATAGGACTATTCAGATTGTCAGTTTCATCTTGTTTAAGGTTTGGTAGATGGTGGTTGTAGAGAAAGTGGTCCATTGTGGTTGACAAAGTTTTGTTTTTTGGGTTTTTTAAGAGAAAAAAAAATAACAGAATAACAACAAAGACAAAAAAAAACAACACAAAAACAATAAAAATGATACAGAATTTCAAGACAACATAGGAAATTAACAATGGTTGTTATATTACATATTGTTATCTTCAATGAAGTTGCTCAGCTTGCCAGATGTAAGAGTGCAAGATTAAGTACAAATGATCACAGTGTTCTCTTATCCTTTAAATAGCTACACGATCTAAAGTGATACCTTTGCTTCGTTTCTGACATTGATGATTTGTATCTTTTGTTGTTGTCATTCTTGCCCTGAGGTTTATCGATTATATTGATTTTCTTCAAAGAATCAGCTTTTTGTTTCATTTGTTTCCTTTATTTTTTTTCTATATTTCAGTTTGACTTTTGCCTTTATCTTTTTTAATTTGCTTTGGTTTGCTTCCTCTGGGTTTATTTCGTATTTTTTTTCTAACATTTTGGGGTAGGAACAGGTTATGAGTTTGAGATATTTCCTTGTTTCTACTCTGTGCATTTAATCTTCTAAATTTCCCCAGCTGCTTGTGCACTGGTCACTTTCATTCCCCAGGTCTTGTACTAGATCTGCTCCACATACTTGATTCTCCAGATATAGTCTTTTTGTTTCCTTTTCTCTAGGGCTCCTTATCTAGGAGTTCTAGTATTTTCTGAACTTCTCCCTATTAAAACAAATGATCTACGAAGGACCTCATTCAACTCACTCTCATGAAGGTGTGAGCATTTTAACAGTCTGCAGCTTCCTCTTGAAAACCAACTGTGAGGGGAAGGAACTTGTCACTGCCCTCAGAGTCACTCTGTTAAAAGTCAGATTCCCCTTAGCTGGTTTTATCTATGCAGATTACGGAAAATCCAGATCATCAAATCCTTATCCACATTTTGTGTTACAGACACTAAAAACAGACACCAAGCATGGGAATGTAAATTTCTAGGTCTAAACTGAGGAAGCACTGGAAGGAACTGGATGAACAGACACAATGGTCTGGTCATGGTTATGTCATCACCAGACCAACATCACTGGCACCACTTGAAAATGTGCCATAAATGCAGATTCTCAGAATTCACCCCAGATTTGTTAAGTCCGGAACCCTGGGGTGGAGCCCAGGACTCTGCACCACACCGTGTCAAGGCATCCCAGAGATTCTGAGGCAGCTCAAGTCTGACAAACACTGCTCTGGTGGGAAGAACTTGACACCTGAGGTCCTAATTTAAATTCAGAAGCTCTAATGAGCTGGGAGGAGGCTTTGCTGGCTGAAGTTCTCCAGGCTGTCCTTTAGAATTGGACTATTATTCAAAGTAGACCTGAAGGGCTCACATATAGTCAAGGCAGTGGTTGTCTCAGAAAAGGTCACTATTAATATTCAATGAAAGGTGGGAATACTAAGATATTCATATCATGCTTATGTGTGGTTTGAAAAAATCGTTCAAAAGTACCTGCTAGATTTATCCCTACAAGCAAATTGTAAATATTTTCACAACACAAGTACAATTCACCATAAATAAAAATTTCACCTACATATTAACACATAGTGGTGGTATATTTTATTTTCATGTTTTTATAAAGTTTCTATTCTGAACTATTTCTTTTTAATCATTATGTAAATGTACTAGGTTTTTAACATGTCATAAAACTCTTCCCAAAAATACATGTGTCTCTTTTTCTTCCCAGATGAAAGGACACTCTGGCAATGCATTCAAAATTGTAATTTCTGCCACTACTTCAGTTTCAAGTTGAGCAAGTGTCTTAGACTTCAGCATAGCACTGGATCCCATGGGGATAAAAGATGAAAGTAGCCATACAGCACCCGTGACCCAGGAGGGTCAGCTCAACTTTCAACACCCAAGGACGTAGCCTCGTAACTGGAGTCGCTCATCAGGAATGCTCAGGGCTGGAGAGGATCTCAAATTCCCAGGATTTCTTTTCTTCTTAATTTGTACATAATCAGCATCCTTAGTCTAAAATCTGAAGTGCTTTGAAATCTGAAACTTGTTGAGTCATGATATATTAGTGAAAAAAATGGATTGAGAAGAATTTGGGATTTCAAATGTTCAGATTAGGGAATTCCAACAGTATAGTCTATACAAATATCCCCAAATTCAAAAATCTACAAAAGCTGAAACATTTCTGGTTTTGGATAAGGGATACTGTACCTGTGTAGCCCCAAGTCAGGCCACTGCTCAGGAATAGGTGCAGAAAGAAACGATGGAACAACACCGTGGATGTTTCAAAGATGAAATAGAAAGCTGCAGACATGAGAATCAAGATCGTCTTTTCCTGGTTTTGAAATACACTACTGTTCTTCAACACAGCCAGCATGGGAGTGTCCATGTCTGTACACCCCAAGATATGATTCAGTATGTAGTTGGTTATCTAGACCCAACCAGCCCACAAGGCATTTTGCTGTTGTAATTAGTACACCTGCCAAAGGTGTGGCATCTTCTGGGAAATTTTATTAGCAGGAAGGGAAGAGAGAAGCCAAGGACCTTCCTTCCACTGTGCGACCTTTTCTCTGCTCATTAGCAGGCCCATCAGCCGGCAAGCAGCTGAACTGAAAGTAGTTGGTGTTCACACTGATCAAATTTGGTACTCATTAGCAGCTCTGATTCGAAAGGAAAAAGTCTCTGGAGAAGAGTTAAAATCAGATTTGATTTTTGGCCAGCTGCGTATCTATAATCCTTGTTCTTCTTAGCTCTCGTCATGGAAAATTCTGAGTTCTCTGTGGGAGAGTTCACTCTGGCACCTTCTGCTGTACCTCACTTTCTTCTCTCCTTGTCCTAGTAAAGCAGTCTATGAAATCTGAGCCACAGAACCACAATGGACAACCAGGATAGCACATACACCCTTCATCCATACAATCAGTCTCACAAAAAAACATCTTTTGGGAAAACAAGTTTGGGATCAAAATGAAAATTTGGATTTTGACTAAATTAAAGCAAAGCCATATGCCAGAATTTAAACACAGACCGTTCTGTCACCTTTCTTCCCAACATCAATGAGCAGAGGGTATACCAGTAACCACAAGGACCGTGTAGACTTCATAAAAGGGAACTTAAAAGCACGGTCATTGAACATCAAAATGTTTAAATACTTTCAAAAATGTTCTAGAATGCTCTTACAGAAGCTCCAGGGGCACAATTGGTTAGTGTGCGGTACTTATATAGAATGCTCTAACTTTGATTCAGCACTACTTGAGTACGGTCAGATAACTATAATATAATGTAGTAATTCAAATGGTGCAGTTGATACTGAAGATAGTATCTTTTGGGATTTGGAAAATGTATATTCATAAGAAAAATGTGTCATGATTGTTAATTGTGACATGTCAACTTGACTGGAGTAAGAAATGTCTACCAGAATGTAAAATTCTAGGTATGTCTGGGGATGACTGAAATGTAGGACACAAATTTACTGCTCTAGTGAATACTAACTAATGCATGTGTAATCTAGATTCTTAGGTTAGATAATGCCTTTAAAGTATGACACCTTTAGATAATGTCTTCTGCCACTAAGGTAATGATTCATCATTATTTAATTCTAAGAATAAAACTCATAGAAGTAACTACAACCTTGGTAGATCTTTCTTCCTGCATTCACTTTTCTTCATAATGACCACCTCTTTTCAGCATATTAAGAGATATGAATTGACCAACAACAAATATTGAGAGGAAAAGGGTTTTTTCTCTATAATGCATTGATAACTTAGCCTTCAGCTATGCTTCTCAGCATTTAATATGTTTCTATCAAAAGTTAATCACCTTGTTTCCATCTACCCTTTTCCTCCCTCTAATATACAGACAAGAGAACCCTCCCTCTTCACTATGACTATAAGCTTACTCTTCTGATTACAAGAAGAATCAAAATGAGGCTCTAGAAATTCAAGATGTTTTGATGCAAAAATATTTTCAAAGAGCATCAAAGAGGGTCCTGAGACACCTTGAGAAGTAGCATTTCCTATATTTCCAGCTCCTTTGCTTTGTTCTTATAAATTAAAATTGTTCAAATTTCCCTAAATTTTGAAGTTTTACCCAGATTTTAAATTTGGCTAATATTCTTGAGAGAACTAAGGTGTAGGATTTCCAAAGTGGTTCTACTCCATCTGATCCATAACAGTTTTTAAAAATGCACAAAGTGACAGGATGAAGTGGTAGACAAGTACAATAAGGCCATCATCCCATGCTGCCCTTCTCAGTAACCCAGATCACTAAGGTTAACTGAGGTAACTGATGATTTAACTACACTTTTCTCTAATACTTCAGACCAAAAACAGTCCCCACCAGATTCAGTCCAAAGATTCTAAAAACTAGTAATAAAATTCACTGAAATCAGAAATGTGAAATGTTTATTCGCTATGAAGGCATTACTGGACTGGAAGATTCCCCAGTCAGTCTTCTGGAATAAGACAACACCAAAATGCCATGGAAGTCATAGAGAAAAAAGAAATCCAAAGGCAAAGAACTAATTGGCTCCATTGGCATATACTACACAGGAAGATGGTTTAAAGGGTAGAGTGTAAATTCTCAAGAAGGAAAAGTGTAAACGTGAGTCACTTCTTCGACGTAAACCCAATCTTTTCAAGCAGACATCAGAGATTGAATGGCAAAGTGAGCACAGCACTGACTAACAAGTTTGCCTGGGGAAAGTCCTGCCATCCAAGTGCAAGAGAAGTGTGGGAACTCACCAGATGTGGCCAGATGTTGAGAGCGAGCCCCTGCTCTCCTAGGGCAGACTGGGAGATAACCCTTTTTGTGGGCCCAGATCTAACAGAGCTCTAAGAATTCTCTCTTTTTTTTTTTTTTAATAATCCAAAACTTTTTAAGATGTAGTAATCTTGACATGATCAATTTCTTTCCATTACTGCTTTGTTTCTCGGTTACCCCCTCCTTTATGCTTTATGGATAGAACACAGGCATGTCACTCATGGTAATTTGAAATTATACAACATATGAACAAGAACTATGTTGGGTGTTCCAACTATAAAAAATTATCACAGCAAATGACACATGGCATTAATCCCCCTCACTTTGAACACACTTATCATCCTTGCCACTTTTTGGAACAGGTCTAAAGCCTTCTTTCTTGAATGTCTTTATTTATACTGTCTTGACTGCCTTGATGTTCTGAATTGAATCAAAATGTTTACCTTTCATTGTCATTTTGATTTTGTGGAAGAGACAGAAGTCACACAGTGCCAGATCCAGTGAATAAGGTGAATGAGAACACGCTGTTACGTGTTTATGAGCCTGTTTTCCCCCTGGGATGGCATCAGCCATGGCATTCACCATATTTATGATCACCCTCTTAAAGACTTTCAGAAAAGAGGACTTTCAGAACTGCTTCAGAAAGTAGCAAGAACCATGGGACAAGTGTGTTCAAAGTAAGGAGAAGTATTCTTAGAGAGATTCATGGCAACCTGTCTCTTATTGTAATAATTTTTTTTTTTAAATTTAGACATTCACTGTATATTTCTATCCCACCCTGTGTATCTGCACCTGTCAGTGCTTAGTTAGTCTTAGAATGAAGCTGGAGACGTTCAAAAATGTGTTTTAGTGGAGACAAAAATGTACTTTTACGTACTCTTGTTGGACTGATAACCCCTTTGGGTGAGGAGAAGAAATAGCAGGAAAACAATAGGCGCCCTGATGCATGTAGGGAAGAAAGAGACCTCCAAGGTCAGGATTCTGAGTTCAGAAGCAAAGGAGGTGAGATGAACACCGGGATGGCTGAGCATTATTGGTTGTTGTCCCAAGGCCACAGTTTCCTCTGTGTACAGTGGCAGCGCCAGTGACCGCAGGAAAACATGTCCATGCCCTTCCACTGGCCCCATGTCCGAACCCCACATTCCAGAATCCGTTGGTTTCATCCCACTGCAGGTCTGATCTCTAGATCTGAGGCTTCTATCTTCACAGGCTCAATTCCTTTCTTTCTCTTCTGAACCCTGCTCAAACATCCTCTAAAAAGTGATGTTCAAAGCCACGCAATGTGGTGCACACCTGTAATTCCAGCACTTCAAGGAGCTGGGGCAAGAGGATCACAGTATGAGCCCTGCCTAGGCAACTTCATGACTTAGCAGGACCGTACCTTAAAATAAAAAAACTTTAAAAGGCTAGGGATATGGCTCAGTACAAAAGCCCTGGGTCCAATACCCAATACTGGGCGGGGGGGCAGGGAACAAACAAACAAAACAAAAACCAGTGACAATCTACTCAATTATCCAAGTCTTAGCAATCAAAGCAGGTCATTTGTTTCATTATGCTTATATCTATTAAACACAGAACTGTCCATAAAAGGAACAAACATCATAAACTGTTTTTTCAACCTTTATTTTTCATTATCACCTTCTTTAAGAAGTCTTTCTTGACATTTCTTCCAACCACATTCCCCATGAAATTTTGATGCCATAAAAGTACAATGTATCTTTGTATCTAATCTATGTTCATCTGTACTTTGAATTAACAGAGTAAGGTTTTTTTTTTTTTTTTTTTTTACCCACCAAGAATCAAATCTCTCCCTCTTGGAAAAGATGCAACACCAGTAAAGAATGGATGACTCTGAGGTCAGCAACAATTGCAGTCATGGTGCCCTATGTGTTTTTCTGACTCTCTGATATTTAATGGAATATAAATGATCAAAAGTGCCACCTTAGGTCAGTCATCTGTACTGAAGAGGTGTGGAGTAGCAAAGTCTTATCTCCTGAGATTCTCAGCCCCAGCTTCCTCCTGTGGTCCCCACTGCCTCTTCCCTGGTCTTTCGTAAAGAGTCTGCAGAATTAGGAAGTGTTAGCCTCAAAGTAATGCCAAGCCCATATTTTCTTTTTTCAATCCCAACACTTTTTGGCTATAAACAATTTGGCTTTAGTTCATTTTCTGTTGCCAGTGACACAGCACCACAGACAAGGTGAGTCCTAAGGAAAAGAGGTTTACTTTGGCTCATGGCTCAGGGTTCAACGTCAGGGGGCCACATCTGGTGATAGTTTTCCACCTGGCAGAGATGCAGGGCAGTGCAGGGCATCACGTGACCAGAGATAGGAGCATGTGTGTGTCTGTTCTGGTTTCCTACAAGCCATAGCATTCAATCGTGATCATGGAGACCACACTCTGAGGACCTCACAAAGGCTCCAGCTCTAAACATCACAGTCAGATTAACTTTCCACACAATAGGGATTAAATTTCACCACATGAATCTTTCAGGACACCCAAACCATATTCAACTCATGGAATACAGCAAAATACAAACAGTTAAACTGATCCCCTACTCTAGAAATGGGATAAATCGTCTCTCACCTCTTGCCTTTTGAAGTTCTGGACATATTCTTCAAACTGCTCGTCTTTTGTCTCATCAGCCTTCCCCAGCTTCTGGAGGACCTGGTTTGTGAATAAAACATAATGGTTTGATTTAAGGATGCTTTCATTAAACTGTGAATAGGCACAGCAAGGCTGTTATTGTGCTGTGAGGATCTCAGGGGAATTCATCCTGAGCGTGGTTGGGGTTTTTCTGTTCTGGAAGGCGCTTGATGGCTTTGGAGTCCACAGACCTGAATTTTAATTACAGATCCACCATCCACAGGCTGTGTGATCTGAGCAAGGGTCATGATCCATTGCATTTATTTATTTATGTATCTGTTTCTTCCTGGAGGCTGGGCATTGTTCTTTTGTCCAAAGCATCTGGCGCAATGCTTGAATCACAATAGGTGCTGGATTTTTTGCTAAAGAATGAACCAAAGCTGTTTTACTAAAGTACTAATCTATTTCCTGGGAATAGCTCTAAGTTCTCCCTGCACATCCTCTAATATTCCCCCTCAGTTCAATGCACTAGAAGTAGCTGGGTATACCCAAGACCTCATGCTAACCACCAGTCATTCAGAAATACAAAGCCAAATACGCAAAGTCCCAAGCACTGATCCTAAAGAATTCATATCTAGTGGAATACACCAGGCAGTTTCACAGATCGCAAACCAAACACAGTGTGTTATAAGCAATACGAGGAGGTTGCAGACTGTTTTGAGCAAACTTAGATATTTATTTTCCTAGTCACACTCAGAGATTTGACCTGAAGTCTTCAGAGCTGAAATCTTCAGAAAATGATTTGTGGAGGTGATGCACACTGTGCTGTTAGAAATTCCAACTGACAAAAATGTGGCAGAGTTCATTCCAGCTAAGGAAGTGGCCGTAAGCAAAGATCACAGGAAAAACTGTCATGACTCATGGGACTGGACATGAGTAGCTCTGTCAGGCCTAGAGCACAGGATGAGGGTCTAGGAGAAAAAGTTCTTACAGACTCAGTAGAAAGTCACTTGGGTGCAGAGAGGAAGAATTGAGAGAACCGTGACTGGGTTCACTATGTGTTACTCAGTATTCCCATAGCTTGTGACCAAAACACCAAATTATTCAGGAAAATGAAAATTTCATAAATATTGGCTTCTAGAAATGCACATACCTTATGACATGAGCAAATATCTTTAAAAAAAAATAAACATTTCGGCATTTAGACTTCTAATCAAACAAATTGCATTCTTATCTATTGCATCAGGTTATGCTAATTTGTTACCTAAAATCAAAATTATAGCCTTGTACAAACTGAGAAGTTTTAAAGTGGCACTCTAGAATGGGAATAATTCTCTGTATATTATTGGAATGAAGCTAGAAGTCAACAGTTAAAGAAGCCGTAGAAATTATGCAAACATATAGAGATTAAATAATATGTTGTTGAATAATAAGTGGATCACAGAAGCGATCAGGAAAGAAACTACAAAATTCTTAGACTCAACGGACAATGGAAACACAGCATGTCAAAATCTATGGTACACAATGAAATCATATCTAAGAGGGAAGTTTACAGATGCGAATGCAAACACAAAACGAATAGAAGAATCCCAAACAAATAAACTAAAAAGTTCTTAGAGAAACAAGAATAATCCACATCTGAAACTAATAGAAGGAAAGAAATTATACAGATCAGGGTGGAAATTCATGAAATTGAGACCCAGAATGACACAAGGATTAACGAATCCAAGCTTGGTCCTTTAAAAGGACAGGAAGGGGACCTGAGGATTGGAGGAGATGGGAGGGACAGTGGGCAAAAGAAGTAAAAAGAATTAAGTTGAGCTGTGTGCATGGGCAAATCCCCCAGGACGAATGCGTGTAACACATATCACAAACACTTCCTAAAAGAAAATTAGGAAGAATATGAAGTAAAGTTTAAGAAATAAAGTTGCCTTTAAAGCACAGATTGAATGACAAAAGTCATCTAAAACTTGGAAAGTGCCACCAGATGTGTGGTTGTTCTTCAGTACAATGCTGAGTTTACCCTTTGCACTGGCTTCCCTTTGACTGGTGTCTTGGTTACTTTTCTCTCCTTGCTGAGACAAAATACCCAATGCCCAAAATTGAGGAAGGAAAGGTTTATTTAGCTTATAGTTTGTTGAGGTTTCAGTCCGTACTTAGCTGGCTCCGAGGCAGAGTAGCACATGGCAGTGGTTCATGGCAGCAGAAGATAGCAAAGCAACAAGAGCAAAAGGGGGAAAGGCAGAGTCAGCAAGCCCCTCTCTCTCCCTTGTATTGTAAGGAGGCTACCCCCACCCAGGGGGCGTGTAGCACTCACATAATCTCCATGCCTTCTTCTTGCACAGGCTGAGGATGAATACAAAGTAAGCTCACTGGCTCCCTGCTGAGTCACACAGTTAACTTTCTAAACTCACACTGACACAATGAACAACATCCTAGAGCAGGAAAGGCATGTCCTTTTCACCCCAGGATGCAGAACTACTGAGTCACTTAGCCAAACCTCTAGACTCCCCAAGTTGACACAATGTATCAACCATAACAACTGGGTTATATTACAACTACATAGACACAGTGGTTGACTTGAAGGTTTTGATCCAGCAGAAATGCAAACAGTTCCTGTCTAAGGGGAAAGATAAACCCAAATATGAGTTTACGACATTAACTAGTCCCTTCTCCTAAAATTCCTTCAATAGATAGACCATCAATACCTAGTTCCTTAAATATATTTTAAATGAGTTTTATCATTTGATTGAATGCCTCATGCATTGAGTTGAATAAAACCTTCAATATAGGTTCATTTGGTATTTATATGAAAATAACTTTTAAAAATAACAAAATAAACTTCAAAGTAGCCCACAAATACATAAAATATTATGTCTATTTCTTGGTTGGTGGTGAAAATGTTTTTGAAACCTTTATTGATACAGGTTACAATTAAGTAAATGGAGTAATGTTAGCTGGGTAATAAAATCCCACTCTCTCCCTGGGAGCTGCCCCATTAGAGGCCTTGGCCACCATCTTCCTTTCACTGGGGAAGCGTTCCCAACTTTGGTAGCCAGAGGTTTTTGCACTCTTATTTTGTTACTAATGTTGTAACAGAAATAGAGTGAAACAAAATTATAGAGGCCAGGCTTGCAAGAGAAGTACAACTCGATGACACAGGGATTCCTGGGCTGCCATCCACCCCCATATTTTTATTCTAAGTATAATGCCTTTAAGAAAGAAGGCTTTAGCTTTATACTTTTTTTGTTCTTTTTGCCTTCCTAAAAATAATTTATTTCAAAACAAGACCTAACAAATGATCTCTCTCTCTCTCTCTCTCTCTCTCTCTCTCTCACACACACACACACACACACACACACACACATACACAGACACCAAACACCAAACACCTAAATACCTAAAGGTAACCAAGGAAAGGCACCTAGCAACATAGCATTTACCACATGGCCTTTTACCCCTAGGTCTCGAAGTCCACCAATTCTGACATTTTTAGATACTCTAGATTATGTAAGTCACTGAAAAGCAGAAGTCCACAAGTGACCAAGCAAATCAGGGCCCAGGAATGCTGCAAGCTCTGCTTGGCAATTAGCCATGGTCTAATCCTCAGTTCTACAACTTTACCTGTGGTGACTATGGGCACTTGTGTCTCAGAGTGGGAAGAAGAAAAGGTACAAATGTTTACAGAGTGCCCACTACAAGCTGGACCCTACAGAAGGCCATTCGCATGTCACCTCGTTAGTCCTCACCCTGCTGCTCTCTGGCACCTATTCTATCCAGTAAAGGAAACAAGACCATACAACTGATAACTGGCCTATTGAAGATCCTGAGAAAATTTCCCTTTCTGAGATCTGATGCTTCTATCACACCATATATAGACTTTACCTTCTCATGAGAGGCAAATGAGATTTACACATCATAACTATTATTCCCATTTTCTCAATCAAATCCTGTAGACCACAACATCCCTTAGAAAAGTACATGTTATAAGCTGAATAACTACAATAATGGGGGTGTCATTCATAGACCCCCCCTTCCACCTAAAACCCTTCATTTAAATTTCAAATCATAGTCCCTTGTTTTTCACAGTTCTAAAAATGGTATGATATAAATAGCAAAACAACCACAAAAATTGCTCCTCCGCATAAAGAGAAATAGAGGAATGGTAATTGGATGACATCAGTGCCCACACTTTCTCTTCTAAAGAAAATAAGAAAGTATCCAAAGATCTCTGAATTGTAGAGCACCAATCATGGTGGTAGTAGCTACCTTTGGTGGTGGCTGGACTAGAGAGATGAAGAGGGCATAGGCCAGAGGGATGAATCCAGATAGGACTTTTCTATGTCAGTGGCCACAATAGGGACCTCAGGTACTTTATTTCAGCTGCTCCTCAAAGCAGCCTGCTCATCCCTAACTTAGAAATGAAGAAACTGAGACTCAGGGAGGCGGAGCAACCTGCTCAAACTTATTCCCTTTGCTATGAGTAGAACTCAGATGCAAACTCACTCTTCCACCCATTCCCCACTGTGCCTTCCCATAAAGATGGACCCATTCAAGAGTTTATCTACCCAATAAAATGGACCCCTACCACAAGATCCTGAGATCTACATCAAACTTCTCTGGATGTCAAGTCTTTAACTTGGTCACAGGAGTGGTAACCATAACAAGTATTGAATTATTTGCCTTTATTTCCACATATCCGGTCTGTCAAAGACAGTGGTGATTCTTACTAATAACTCCCATCTGTGTTATCTTTCAGTTTCTCTTTTATCTCCACAGACATATTTTTAATCTGTAACCCCAAGAACAGCAAGATTTTCCTTGCTACACCATCATCTCCTTTTTTCTCATTTCTCCAAAGTTGTCAAATTCTCTTTTCTAACTTGCCTCTCTAGACATGTCATTTCCTTTACTTAAATCCCACTGCAACTGTTAATCTTGACATGTCAGCTTGGTAAATCACACTGTGAATGTGTCTGGGTGAGTCATGGAGGCATGACCTTGGGGACTATATCTGGTCTCTGGCCCCTGTCTCTCTGGTGCTGCTGCCCTGCTCTGTTTCCCAACCACCATGAACTGAGGAG